CTCCTTGACAACATGTATATTTTCCTAAATCAGTCTGTTTGTGAAGCTTCTAAATGTAATTTAATCTGTAACCTGACTTAGTTTACGTATAGAGTTCGTTTGACAAAGTTTGCTTCCTTAGGCAATGTATGAGGTAGTAGTAATTGTTGTTCAGTCCTTTTTCACTTGTGTCTGACTCTTCATGACCCCATCTGGGGTTTTCTTGGCAAAGATACTGGAGTGGTTTGTCATTTTACAGATGAGGAAACTGAGGCAAACAGGGTTAAGTGACTTGCCCAGGGTCACACAGCTAATAAGTCTCTGAGGACAGATTTGAACTCAAAAAGAAGAGTCTTCCTGACTCCAGGCCTGATACTCTATCCACCTGCCACCTACCTATCCATGTATGAGATTGCCACTTTGTTTAATTACATTTGCTCAACCTTTAGGCAGTATGGGATTATGGATCTATCTTGTCTTTAACTTTTGTGGCCTAAAAAGAATGCATAAGATTGTAATATATAAAAAAATTATTTCTCTGTCACTCTGATATAATTTTGCCTGTAATAGGGGTTGTGGGAATCCTAACAGGGACTCAGGTTTTTTTCTGAGGCCTGAGCTTATGCTTGAGCATAATAATAAAACTTAAGTTTTTACCTCTATAATTTCTACATTGTGGTAAAGAAACATTTATATAATATGTATATATACACATACATACATGCATGCATGCATATATATACCCATATACATACATGCATGTATATACACACATATACATACATGCATACACATGCAGAGAGACAAAGGCAGCAATTACCTACCACATGAGCTCAGAGAGGAGATATTTCTAACAGCAACAAAAGGCAGTGAGCAGCACCATGGAAACATTGCTGCATTCAGTGCGCTCATGCCAAGGGAGCACCTAGATTCCCAGCAGTCATAGATACAGAGTTGCAAAGGGACCTCAGAGGAGATTTAGCCCTACCCTGGTGTTTTACAATAAGGGAGATAAGCCCCAAAGACATTAAGTGCCTGTCCAAAATCACTCAGGTTCAAATCTTGGCTCTTACATCTATTGTATGATCTTGGACAAATTACTAAACCCTACTGGGTCTCAGTTTCCCCATCTGTGACAAAGGGTCTGGACTAAGTGACTTGTAAATTCTCTTCCAGCTCTAAATCTGTGATCTATGAACCTCTCTGAAATGTATTTTCCCTATCTCCAAATGGGGGTAATAATAAACATCAATAGATTGCTTTAGTGAAGGGTGGAGACCATGGGATTACTGTTACACCTTTGCTCGTCCTTTGTTTTCAGAGAGGACCAATGTCATCACTGGGTGATGTCTTCACTTGCTTAAGTGATGCCTGTTTTACACCCTAGAGAAAGGAGCTCCAGTTGGCAGTTAGCATTCCACAAACCTTAAGTACTCTTTGAATGTTAGCTAATTACTCCTGCTACTGCTGTTGTTATTTGGGCCTTCTGGTGCCCAGAAAGTAGATTAGACGTCTTTATCTGCAGCGAGCTTCACCGTATGTTCCATGGTTCTTATAAGTACAACAAAGAGAAACAGTGCCTGTGGAGTGAATACAGCAGAGAAATTACCCCCTGGCACTGGAGAATGGAGCTGTTTAAAGGTCAGCTAACTGTGTGTGTTTGAGAGCCTGCATGTGTCATGCTGCTCTGTGCTCTGACCTTTTCAGTATTCAGCCTTCTATCAGCAAAGAGAAGAAAATCAAGGGCTTGTGCACAGGAGGCCTTCTGTCAGAATAGGGGGGAGGGAAATGTCACTAGCCCCAGAAAACATTTTATTTTCCTCCCAAATACTTGAAATTCACACCCCGTGCTGGCCTTGGCAAATCTTTACTTTTCTAGGAAGGCATGTGGTTTTAGTTCTTTAGTGCAGAGGCCTGGGCCCTGTAGGCCACTGTAACCTTGGGCAAATTATTTCAAGTTATTTCACAGAATCACATCGTTTTTTCAGGGTTTTAGGAGACCTCCAGATTTGTGCATAGACATCAGAGGCAACGGGTTTCATTGCAGGCTCCTTTAGGGGGTTTCATCTCCTATCAACCTCAGGGTATCTCAAAAGCTATCCTTCCTCCAAAATTATAGTTATTGTCTACAGTACTTAGTTTGGGGGGTGAAAATCAGCAAAGTTCTCCCCCTTCCGTTTAAATTGCTTTTGATCAGATTTGCACAAATGTAGACAAAGGCATTCTTACTGGCCCTTGTTAGTTGTATTTACTCTTTTCCTACAGTTTAAGCCATGGTCCAGATGTCAAAATCCCTTTCTCAGATACCATCTTCTTCTTTTTTTAAAAATTTCATATTTTATTTATTTTCCCAGTTATATGGGGGAAAAATTTTAACATTCTTTTTTTTAAATTTTGAGTTCCAAATTCTCTCCCTACCCTTCCTCCTCCTTGAAAAGGGAAGCAATTTTATATAGCTTATACACAAGATACCATCTTCTCAGTCAGCTGTTTACCTCCCAAATTGATTTTTCTCTTTGGAATTCCTTGCCTCCAATGGGCCAGAGCAAAGAAGACACCACCTATTCCACTAAGCTTTTTAGTTTCTTGACCAAGGCTTTTTCATCTTTAAGAATACTTTCTAAGACGTTCTTTCCAGTAGCATCTTTTTACCTCTGTTTCTTCATCTGGAAAATGAAGAAATTGAATTAAATTATCTCTAAAATTCTCTTCCAGCCAGGAGTATGCTGGAGCCAGCTCACAACAGCTGATGATAAACAATTGTTAAATTTTCAGAGTAAGCATTTATGGCTCAGAAATCAGCAAATGCTACAAATCAGGGCTTGATTTATTGTTTTCTTGAGTGTCCAGACTTAAGAAATTGATGGAGATAATGTTAATAATTCAGATTAAACTTAAAGGCCTGTCATTTGTACTCGCCCCCCCCACCCAGAGATCCAGTTGTTAAATATTTGCTGGCATATCACTGCATCTAGCTTTAGAATTCTGTGGTTCTGTGAGCTAGGGGAGCAGAAATGGCAAGAGCGGGCTGAAAGTCAGAAAACCTGGGTGATGATCTCACCTCTGTCTGATAACTTGCTTGTGTGTGTGAGACCTTGGATCATTCACTTCCCTCTGTGACCTTCAACTTAGCTGCTGGTAAAATAAGGTGTTTTGACTCAGTGATCTCAATGTCTCTTCTACCTCTGACATTCTATGAGTTGATAAGATTATTTATAAGGTGAGAGCATTAAAGATAATTTAGTTACTTTCAAATACTTGCCTATTCAATGATGTTGCTGTTAGGGAAAGAGAAGTAGGTTTAAATTGCAGGCAAAGTTAGTAGTGGATGCCTTCTTCCCAGTCCTTTTCACAGCCCTCTCTTTATGATAGTATTCTATCCTCTGAGGTGCCCAGGGCCCTCATGCTGCCCATATAGTAGAATGTAGCTGGGTTCCCTTACTATGGACTCCAAGAATATTTGCCCTTGGGAGCAGGGCCCCCAGCCCTGAACTTCCTTCTCTTCTTTTTTTAAAATCAGTTCTCCATTGGAGGTTACATTTTTGAGCTGAGAAGTACCAGATAAACAGCAACAAAGTACAAATCACACCAAGGTGTTAATGGATGACAGAAGCCTATAACTGTCAACTGGCATCTTCACTAATAATGTGTTAACCTAAAGGAATGAATCCCTTAAAAGAAGATGTCAAGCGTTGTCCAAAGGCTGGGATGGGGGGAGGTGGGACATTTTGAGGTGATGGCAATAGGCAAGGAAACAGCCCACTTATAAGCCTGACCCTGATGCTACTTCAGTGGCCTGTGAGGCTATTAGGCCATATGAGGAAGGAAGGAGCTAGAGATGTTGACCTAGAGTGAAGATAAGACATTGTCTTTAAGTGTCTGAAACTGGCATGTTGAAGAGGGATTAGCCTTTTTCTGCCTGGTCTGGAGGGACAGAACAAGGAACCATAAGTAGAATCGACAGGGACACAGATTTTTACTCCGTGTGAGAAAAAGCTTCTCAACAATTTGACGTATACAAAAATGGAATGGTCCACCTGAAAGACCACCGGGTTCCCTCTGACTGAAGGTTTTCAAGTGTAGATCGTTCCCTTGCCAGAGATATCATAGAGGGCATTCCTATACAGATCCAATGATCTTGGAGATCACTTACAACTTTGAGGTTCTATGATTCCATGAACTTGGCCTATCTGTGTTGTTTTGGTCTGGAGAGGAGCTGGGAAGCTAGGTAGTACAGTGCCAGGCCTGGACACAGGAAGACCTGAGTTCGAATACGGCCTCAGGCACTTATTAGCTGTGTGACCCTAGGCAAGTCAGTTAACCCTATTTGCCTCCCTTTCCTCACCTGCAAAATGAGCTGGAGAAGGACATGGTAAACCACTCCAGTATTTTTGTCAAGAAAACCCCAAATGGTGTCATGAAGAGTAAGACACAACTGAAACAATTGAACAACTACACAGAGGGAGCTATCTGTATTTCCCTCTGGGATAATCATAGCCCATGGAGATATTCATCTCCAGCCTCACCCTTACTAACAGAACCCTTCCAGGTGCATTGAAACTGAGGCTGTGCTAATAGATTCTAATGACCACCCAAAGCAAAGAGGTTCCCATTCCAGGCTTCTCTTCTTCCCCTTTCCAATTCTAACCAACCAACCTGCCAACCCAATGGCAAAGGTGTTTGGTGGGTCATAGGATTCAAGCTGGAAGGGATTCTCAAGTCCAGCTGCCCTCCCCCTCCATTTTACAGATGAGGAAACCAAGTCCCAGAGGAGAACTTGTCCAAGGTCATTCATGAAAAAAAGTAGCAGAACCAAGATTCAAACCCAGGGCTTCTGCCTCCAAAACATTGTCCTCTATATGACATTGCTTTTTTGCCTCTCTCCAGTAAACATTGTACTGCTCGCTCCCATATTCCTGCAAACCCCAATGTGGTTCTAACTAGCCTGAGTCCAGGTGAGGACTTGGGAAATCTATCACAGAGATTATGCCACATGCTCTCGTTTCTTCCTCTGCCCACAGGTTTGGCATAAACTGCCTCATCCAGTTTGAAGATTTTGCTAACGCCAACGCCTTCCGCCTGCTCCACAAATATCGTAACAAGTACTGCATGTTCAATGATGACATCCAGGGTGAGTTGGGGGTCTCAAAGCAGGCCCGAACCAGGAATAAAGCTGAGGTCATAGTAGGTACCTCACTTAACAAACCCTCTGTACTTAGCCCTAGGGAAAAAATGAAACAGTCCCTGCCCTTAAGAAGTGTATGTTCTGCTGGGGAGGCAACATGTACATTAATATGCAGATTTTGGAGGGAGGGCACTAGAAGCTAGGAGGATCAGGGAAGATTTCATGGAGAAGGTGTTTCTCAAGTTTTGAAGAAAACCAAGGTTTCTAAGGTAGAGGTGAGTAGGCTTTTATTGCTATTATCAATAATAGTAATAATATACCGCAACCAAACTTCATCTATTTTGCCACGTTGTCTCTGGCTAACCATGGGATTGAGTGTTCTAGGATGAGAAAGAAATAACACTGGACCTGGATTCAAGAGACCCAGGTCCAAGTCGTGGCTCAGACACTAGCTGTGTGACTTTGGGCAAGCTTCTGACCTCTCTGAGCTTTGGTTTCCTCGCCTATGGAATGGCAATCTTAATATTTGTGCTACTTTCTTCCCAGGATTGCTGTGAGAAGAGGGATATGTGGGGATGGCTAGATGGTACAATGGATAAAGTACTAGGCCTGGAGTCAGGAAGATCTGAGTTCAAATCTAGCCTTAGACATTTACTAACTGTATGACCTTAGGCAAGTCACGTAACCTCTCCTTGCATCAGTTTCTTTATCTATAAACTGAAGATAATAGCACCTAACTCCCAGGGTTGTGAGGATCAAATGAGATAATATTTGTAAAGTGCTTAGCACAGTGCCTGGCATAAAGTAGGTACTGTGTAAATGTTAGCTATTATCATTATTATTATTATTATTATTATTATTATTATTATTATTATTAAGCCTTAAAGAACTTTATCAAGGAAATCTATAGTATATCATGATTTTATCCATGAGAGGCAGCATGGCCCAGTAGCTCCAGGACTGGCCTTGGAGTCAGGAAGATCTGAGTTCAAGTCCTTCCTGAGATAAATACTTAGCTGTATAACCTTGGGTTAGTCACTTAACTTTGAAAGTGCCCTGAGGCTGAAAGTTATAGACGATTGGCTGATCTATATCAGTGGAAGGAGTTTCTGCACCAAAGAAATCACTGCTCTGTAAGTTCCCTCTCTCCCCCCCAAAAAAAAAATCTTTATGCTCTAATATTTTAATATTTGAAATATTTAAGTATAATATATTTTATATAAAATAATAACATGGAACATAAGCTTTCCTAGACAAAGTTCCCATCTATGGCCTCCTACAGCCCACAACCACCTACTCCTGGCCTTTTGGCCTCTGACCCCTCCCAGAAATGGCAGGTCTTGGCAGTAACAGCACATCAGAAAGATCCAGATACACAAAAAGATTAAAGCTACTAATTAGCACTTTTTCACCACCCCTCTTATGTGCCCTGATATAGTAAATCCAGCAAGTAGTGGTCATATTTGGAGAAAGCATGTGCTCATTAGGTGCTAAAGTTATCCATCTGCCTTGCCTTCATGCCCACCCCACCAGTCAGAAGGTGAGAGGACTAGATGGACCTCCAAAGCCTTTCCAAAATGAATGTCAAGGCCAGAGACCTCAAGGGAAAAACAGACATCTTCTCAAGCACATGTGTAGAGGCAGTATGCAGAGTGGATAGAGCCCTACGCTTGGAGTCAGGAAGAACTGAATTTGAATCCTTTCTTAGAGACTAGCTCAGTTTCTTCATCTGTAAAATGAGGATAATAGTAGCACTTACCTCAGAGGTAATCTTTTTTGTTTTCCAATTAACAAGCATTTATTTATTTTTCTCTCTCCTGCCTCAAAAAAAAAATTCCCCAAATGATAAATGGTCAAAGGATATGTAGAGGCAGTTTTCAGAGGAAGAAATTAAAGGTATTTATAGTCATATAAAAAAATGCTTTAAATCACTATTGATTAGAGAAATGCAAATCAAAATGACTCAGGTACCACCTCACACCTATCAGATTGGCTAACATGACAAAACAGGAAAATGATAAATGTTGGAGAAGATGTGGGAAAATTGGAACACTAATACATTGTTGGTGGAGTTGTGAACTGATCTAACTATTCTGGAGAACAATTTGAAACTATGCCCAAAGAGCTATAAAATTGTGTGTTCCCTTTGAGCCAGCAATACCCCTTCTATTCCAAAGACATCATAAAAATGGGAAAAGGACTCATATGTACCAAATGTTTTTAGCAGCTCTTTCTGTGGTGGCAAAGAATTGGAAATTGAGGGGATGTCCATCAATTGGGGAATGGCTGAACAAGTTGTGGTATATGAATGTAATGGAATACTGTTGTGCTATAAGAAATGATGAGCAGGTGGACTTCAGAAAAACCTGGAAAGACATATATGAACTGATGCTGAGTGAAATGAGCAGAACCAGAACATTGTACACAATAACAGACACATTGTGTGATAATTGACTTTGATAGACTTAGCTCTTCTCAGCAATGCAAGGATCCAAGACAACTCCAAAACACTCATGATAGAAAATTCTATCCACATCCAGAGAAATAACTATGGAGTCTGAATGTAGATGGAAGCATACTATTTGTTCTCCTTTTCTTTTGTTGTTTTGTTTTATTTCTTCTTTCTTCTGATTCTTCCCATTAGTTCTAATTCTTCTATACATCATGACTAATGTTAAAATATACTTAATATAAATGTATAAGTAGAGCTTATATCAGATTGCATGCCATCTTGGGAAAGGGGAAGGAGGGGGAGAGGCAGAAAATTTAAAACTCAAAATCTTATGGAAGTGAATGTTGAAAATTTAAAAAAAACATTTTTTAAAGAAAAAAAACCCTTTATAACAAATATACAAAGCAAAATTGATCACCATATTAGCCATGTCCAAAAATGTGTGACTCTTTCTACATAATATTCCATCACACACACCCCCCCTCTCTCTCATAGCATTCTTCATCCATCCACTGAAATTCTGGTTGGTCACTTTATCGATCAGAATTCTTAAGTCTTTTTAAGTTGTTAGTTTTTACCATATTGTTGGGGCAATATGCATTGTTTTCCTGGTTCTTCTCACTTCACTCTACATCAGTTCATCCAAGTCTTCCCAGGCATCTCTGAAACCTCCCCCTTTATCATTTCTTATAGCATAATAATATTCCATTGAATTCATACACCATAATTTCTCCAACCATTCCCCAATTGATGGGGTATCCCTTCAGTTTCCAATTATTTTGCCACCACAAAAAGAGCTGCTATAAATATATTTTTCTTTACATATGGATCCTTTCCCTCTTTCTTTGTTCTCTTTGGGGTATAGAGTTCTTAGTACTATTGCTGGGTTGAAGGGTATGCACAGTTTAGTAACTTTTTGGACATAGTTCCTAATTTCTTTCCAGAATAGCTGTACTAATTCACAGCTCCACCAAGAGTACATTAATGTGTCTGTTTCTCCATAGCCCATTTAGCATTTATTATTTTCATTTTTTGTCAATTTTACCTTTCTGATTGGCTCAAGGTGGAACAAAAAAATTGATTGAATTTTCTTTTCCCTAACTATTAGTAATTCAGAGCATTTTTTAATATGACTATAGATAGTTTGGATTACCTCTCATAAGAACTGTTCATATCCTGTGCATATTCTTTTGAATCCATTCCTTATATATCTTGGAAATTGTGCCTTTTTCAGAAAAATATGTGGCAAAGATTCTTCCCAGTTAACTGTTTCCCTGCAACTTTAGTTGCATTGGTTTTGTTTGTGCAAAAACTTTTAAATTTTATGTTATCATAATTGCCCATTTTATCTATTTATTCAGAGGTGGCTAGGTAGTATGGTGGATAGAGTGCTGGACCTGGAGTCAGAAAGACCAGCCTCAGACACTTACTAGCTGCGTGTTGCCCTGGCAAGTTAGTTAACCTCTATCTGCCTCATTTCCCTCATCTGTAAAATGAGGATAGCAACTACATCCCAAAGTTGTTATAATGATCAAATGAGATAATAATTGTAAAGTATTTAGCACTTGAGTGCTATATAAATGTTAGTTGCTATAATTTTTATTATCTCCTGTGATTCTCTATATTCCTTGTTTGGTCATGGAGTCTTCACCTAGCCATAGATTTGAAAGATAATTCCTTCCATGCTGCTGTAATTTGTTTATGTTATGACCTTGAAGTGCTATATAAATGAAAACTATTATTGTTATTGTTATTACTAAGTAAAGTTAGATCTGGAAGGGAGTTTTGTAGTACATCTAATCTAATCCCCTCATTTTACAGTTGAGGAAACTGAGTCTCAGAGAAAGTAAATTGACTTGCTTAAGGTCATATGATGCGTATGGCATATGGCTATATATGCATGCACTATGTAGCATATCAGAACCAAGGCATTCTAACTCCCTGGCTAATACCCTTTCTGACATACCCTTTTCCTTTTTCAGAATACTGTGCTGTGTCTGTGCTATTATCCCACCCAAAGCCCTAGCCCTTTAAACACTATGCTGCTCACAGCTGAACTTTAAAGCCAGACAGGAAAGTTGACACTGGTCATCAAGCAGACTGGGAAGGTGAAAGGAATGAAATATGAAACCCATTAGTTCTGTTTGCCTGATGATAGCTGGCAGACAGTAACCCAGTAAGACAAGCTCTGCACTGGTGAAGAAAAGCTGTGTCCTCAGCCTTCTTTATAAGGTTTGATTTCCCTCCCCCACATTTGAAGGGGTATTCACTATTCCTGACACTTATTGCCTTTTGTTTGAGTTTACCCAGAATTAAACTGCATTATGTCTGCTAAGCTCTGGGCACAGGCTAACTTAATAATCAGCTAAACTCCCTGGTTAGACAGCAGCTAGTTATCCACCCATTCATTCATTCATTCCTTCATTTATTCATTCAACAAATATTTATTTTATGTGTGAAGAGAACTGTAGAGGCATAGGCAACGAGGGAATGTATAAAGTTTAGATTAAGGCTCAATCCTTGCCCTCATAGAACTTAGAATCCAGCAGAGGGA